CGGCCGCTGCAGCCCCATTAAAATCCCATTTTCCGCCCTCTCTGGAGGGTGCTGATGGGCTGGACCATGGGTGCCGAGGGAAAACTTCCATCCCCAGGCTCGTTTTGTGAAAAGGGAAAACTTCTCCTTTTGCAAAAGGARAAGTGGGAATGTTTGAATCCGAGGGTTTGTGYGGAGCGTCCCTCGGTGAGGGGCTGAGCTGGGGTTGTGATCCTTTGATCCTGCACATCCCCCAGGGCTGGCACCCAACAAATCCTTATCAATAAAAATTAAAATTTAAAACAAAAAATAAATTAAAAAGTGAATTTAAATGTGTATTTAAATGTAAATTTAAATATAAATATAATTATAAATGTAGATATAAATATAAATATAAATTGTACATGTAAATGACTGTTACTATATCAATAACTGTTACTATATCAGTAACTATAACAATAATTATAACTAAACTGTAACTATAACTAAAAATATAAATATAAATATTGTAAATATAAATATAAATATAATTGTTCATATTACTGTAACTATAACTATGACTAACAATAAACATAAACAATAAATACAAATACAAATACAAATACAAATACAAATACAAATAAATATAAATATAAATATAAATATAAATATAAATATAAATATAAATATAAATATAAACGCAAATATAAACGCAAATATAAACGCAAATATAAGCGTAAATATAAGTGTAAATATAATTGTAAATGTAAGTAACTGTTACTATAACAATAACTGTAACTATAACTAAAAATACAAATATAAATATAAATATGGATCCCATGATATTCTCCCTCTGTTGCAACAGATTTGGGATGAGGAACAATGTGGAAAAGTCATCAGGGAGCTGCTCCAGCTGCCCAGGGTGGATCAGATGCTCTGCCCTGACATTGCTTTTTATGGGCACCRTCCCACACCATCCCATTATATTTAAATGGGAGATGTGTCCTGGATGCAGCGAGCTCCAGGCATGGCCTCTGCAGCTCCTGAGCTGCTAAAATACCTCCTACCCCTTTGTAAAGTCTGAAAATCCACCAGGAGAGGGGTGTGGGAAACGGGGATGGAGGGCAGGGAGGGTGGGAAGGGGCGGCCAAATGGTTTGGGTTCATGGAATTGTGGTTTGGGTTTGGATTCATGGAATGGTTTGGGTTTGGGTCCATGGAATCAGGGAATGGTTTGGGTTTGGGT